ACCGTTCCTCCTTCTATAGCTCCCCCTTCCTCTGTTCAGCATGCAGAGGAGGGTTCCGGTAGCAGAAGTTTGGCTATGAGAAGTGCAACACTTGAGGTTCCTGCTAATAACAGTCTTTTTAAGGAAGTCTGGTGGAGCAGATGTCTGACTTAAGCCTTTAATTGGAGATATTGAGAACAAGGAAGCATGGACAGTCACAGTTGCTTAACTTTGATGAATGACATAGTTCATTCTACGTTGAAGGTATTCTTCCTTTAACTTTCTAATAAGTTTTTTTTTTATCTCTAGATTATTATCTTCATGAGTTGTTCTTTGTGGCCAACCTTATTGGCACGGAATTGATGGGAAGAATTTCCCTTTTAGAAAAGAAGGCTCGTGAATCTGATAAGACTATTCTCGAAGCTTGAGAGGGTAGCTAGGGAAGCCCAGCTGGAAGCAAACTAATTGGAAGGAACAATTTAAAAAATGCTCAAGAAACGTAAAAGAATTGAAGAAAGCAACCATAAACCTGGAGCAGCAAAAGCGACTCTGACTTCGGAATTAGCGAAAACCAAGGCTTCTTCTACTAAAGCGAGAAAGGACAAGGAGCGCCTTGAGTGTTCCTTTTCGGAGCAATTATCAAAGTCAAGTGAAGAAATCAGAGAACTTAAGGCACTCTTGAACAAGAAAGAAGAGTATGCAGGAGAGTTAGTACAAAACTTGACTCAAGCTCAAGCTGATTTGAAGATCTCCTCTGATAAGGTTCATGCATTAGAGAGTCTCATGCCTCCCTTGAAGCTACCCTTGATTCCACTTTAGCTGAAAATCAAGTGTTTAAAGAATGATCTTGCTATGTGGGAAAGGGATTATGAACTTTCATTGAGGAGAAATTTAACATAGAGGTGAGTTTGGGCTTTTCCTAAACTCTCGTCGTGATGCTTTAACTGAGGCCAGTCAAGAAAACTTTTGATTTAGAATCGGAATTGGCCAAGGTTTTGAAAACCATTGAGATGACCCAACAACCAACTTGACTTTTCCTTCGCCTGGCAGATGAAGCTCCGTAGCTGAAAGAGAACCTTTAAAATGAAGAAGCCGCTGCATGTGGGCAATTGAAGTTGAAAAATGTTGCAATTCCAGCTTCCGAGGGTGAAACTTCTATGAATCAGTTTGAGGAAGCTGAAGCTTCCGTGACTCTTGCTCCCCTCGATGAATCAATCCCAGCTGAATCCGCTTTTGTTGCTGTTTCTTCAGAAGTTACCGTTCCTGAAAGTGAAGCTGATATCACAACTTCTGATGTTCCAGCCCCTCAGTGACCAGTTTATGTTTTTCAAACTTTATTTTTATTTTGCTTTGTTTGATTGGTGGGTTTATCCTTAGTCAGTGTTTAGGGATTTTTTAGAAAAAGTCCCCAGTTTATCATAATGGGGCACTTGTAAAAATTTCTTTTTGTTGACTAAGTTTTTACTTAGTCTTTTTTAACTATTAAAGAAGTTTATTAGTACTTCAATATGTTCTATTCTTGCCTTTTTCTTATCTATTTAGGACTTATAGATTAGTTTAGCATTTTTAAACTTTGAAAATGCTTTATGATCCTTCTCATGACTTATTAACATGAGGCTTATAAAAGAGGGCCCTTTTATATATATCGACACTTAATGAAGAAGACGTCTCAACTTCATAATGGTGTTACAATACGATGAAAGAAATAGGAACACACATGTTTTCGTTTGAATCCTTTGACAAGTTTTTATTCACGAACTTTGACAAGCTTTTGAATATTACATGTATTAAAATACATCTATAACTTTCTCGTAACTGTTTTTCTTGTAACAGATTTTTGCAAAATAAATATAATTCAAACAAGGTTTTTCCTTATAACCCGTTTCAGTATATAGTCATGACCCTATCTTCATGTACTAGGAAGGGTTTGAGAGGTGAATCCATTGTTCTCATGAGTTTGAGCACTATGATGAATGTTTTGTATCCTCATTTGTTTTGATGGGAAAGAACACAATGATGAATGCTGAGGTTCCGTAACTTCTGCTCGACACTTGTCTCTTTGTTTTTCGACTTTCGTTTACATATCTGTTTTCCCGCACGTATCTGTGTACAATATGCAATCCCCCAAGTGTTTGAGCGGTGAAGTATGAAGCCTCGAGCACTTGGTAGTCTCCTTCACCTGGTCCTTTTCCTGAAAAGGAAATACATACGGGACTCGGGGGTGCGATTATAGATGAAGATTGCTTAACCCGTGTATACTTCTATCAGAATAATTGTAACCCTGGGCTAGGAATTTTAGTTTATTCCCTTTTGCCTTACAGGTCGTGACTCATCATTTAGTACGGGTTAGCGTTTTGCCTATCATCTAAAATCGTTAGTAAAATTTTAACAATTCAAAAAATAAATAATTTAACATAGTGATACCTGACCGTGGGTTTTTCCTTAGAAGTAGTATTTCTTCAAATGAACTGCATTCCAATGTGAGGGAAGCACCTTCCCGTCCATTGTTTCTAACTCGTATGCTCATTTTCCTGCAATGTCTCGAACTCTGTAGGGTCCTTCCCAGGTTGGACTTAGTTTACCCGCGTTGGTTGCCTTTGTAGATTGAAAAACCCTTTTAAGCACGAAGTCCCCAGTTTTGAAGTATCGTAGTCGTGCTTTCCTGTTGTAATATCGTTCGATTACTTGCTTTTGTGCTGCCATCCTTATTAATGCGGCTTCTCTTCTTCCTTCGAGCAAATCAAGGTTTACCCGCATATCTTCATCATTTGATTCTTCCGTTGCCTGAGCATATCGTGTTCTCGGTTCTCCTATTTCAACTGGGATTAAGGCTTCTGCACCATAAACCATTGAAAATGGTGTTTCTCCCGTGCTTGTTTTTGTCGTTGTACGGTAAGCCCATAATACTCCAGGTAATACCTCAGGCCAATTACCTTTTGAATCTTGTAACCTTTTCTTCAAGTTGTTGATAATGACCTTGTTCGTTGATTCTGCTTGCCCATTGCCTACTGGGTGATAAGGTGTAGATGTGATTCTTTTAATTTGCCAGCTCTCAAAAAACTCAGTGACTTGAACAGATAAAATGTAACTTAAAGAGAATAGATTATCAGAGTCCCGGCAACGGAACCAATTTGTTTAACCAAAAAACTGAATATTTGGTTAAAGCTAGAATTTAAGAAAGAAATCGGGTTACTGATAATCAAGAAATAAGAGATTTTGAGAACAACAATAAAGCAATGAATAAGTATATATTTCAGTATAATCGCAATGATATTTCGTGTCCTGCAGATGTTGTGACTTTCTCCTTTTATAGTTAGTTCTACGAAAAAGTGCAATGCCTTTGTCTTAATGGGGCAATTACGAGCAATAAATGACTTTAAAAGAAACGTTACTCAATCATTCTTATTAAATACAAATTCTCTGACGTATTTGGTATTTAATGTTGAATTTGGACTCTTTTGCGCTATCAGATTCATGTCTTCAATTCCTTCTGATCTTCGAGCTCTAAATGACTCGAACAGGTTCGAGTCTCGTTTCATCTGAATAATAGCTCGTGCCTTTAAGTATCTTCTCTCCCGCATCTGTTGTTGCTCGTGCCTTCTAACTGATTACCATGCTTTGACTATTTGACCGGTCCACGTGTCATGACACGTCATCTTCAATATTTAAATTCAGTTTTTTCCCAATACATTAAGTAAAATTTACAAATCAAACATTTTAAAAACTAATGAAGCGAATTCCTACAAGAGTCCAAGACTCCAAGCTAAAGGATGCTAAGTAAAAAGGAGAAGGAAAACTCAGAAAGAAATTAAATATTTTGCTATACTGCTGAAAAGGTACCCTTAATCAGCCAAACCAACAAAAGTTGACTACTAGAACTTTTGTTTTTCCACAATTACGCTGTAAATTCATACAGCAAGTAATAATACCAGTCAGTGACAACCAATGAGAATGAAAACGCACCTTGGAACCTCAAAAGACTGATTATGAAGGACTAGAAGCCGCAGTCTCCTGCACTACCTGCGTGTTGGAAGATTATATCTTAGGATTCATCCAGAAACCAAAGACTCAGTCAGACATCAAATAGTACCATCATTTTCTCTTCTTTCCTTTCTTTCTCATCCAAATTGATACTTGCAAGTTGCCAAGTACTAGTTCAAAAAAGTTTACATTAACCTGCTGTATGTTTTCCTCTTTTTTTCCGAAGGGACAAAGAGGATTCTTTAGTTTCGTTACTTGCATGCGAAAGGGTAATTTTCTTGTGGTATAGTAAAAAAGAATATTTATATATCACCGAATATGTAGCTTCTTTTATCAACAAATATCATAAAGAAACATTTGTCACCACCCATGTACAATGTATTAACGCAATTTATGCATGTTATTATTAAGTTCAAAAAATAGTTTAGCATACAGATCGAGACCATGAACCAGATAATTAAGTATAAAAAAAGATTATGTATTTGTTAGGCAAAAAGAATGTACTCTTCAACGCTACTCAATTTAAGTATTTAACTCAACTAAAGAAAGAACTGTCAACTGAACTCCCTTCAAACCAACTTGATCAGACTCAACAACTAAATGCCTGCTAAAATAAGTTCACAAGACGAGAGTTATAAAATGCTTTTTTATGTGAGAATTCCTATACCAGATTTTCTGTGGAGCATCAGTCTGCAACCATACAAGGTTGCGTATACCATCAACTTGAATGGTCGGCTAGCAATTCCTGGAGGTCTGGAAGTTCACTGCAAGAGAGAGTCAGAAACATCCAGCATCAACCATCAACTCCCTACCCACAAAAACAAAAAGAAAAAGAGAGACAGATTCCGCATTTTATCATAAAGCAAAATATCTAATTTCTCTAGCCTACATCTCATATATGAGACCATGGCCCATGGGATCACATTGATCTCTCTTGAAAAGAGGACCACCATCAAAGTTACCACTTACGAGCCAAAGGAGCTATTTCATCAATGGAAAAAAAGTCAAAAGTATTTAATGTCAATGTTCATTCGCTAAAGATGAAGGAATTGCTGAATACGAGCATAAATTATCAAAAAGAAATAGAAAGTCAGATTCCAATGTGTGAATTATCTTTGAGGCAACCTATCAAAGAAAATTTTGAAGCAAGTAACAATACCTTTGAGTGAATATAGACTCTCCCCCACAAGTGTTTTGGAGGCCAGTAGCAAATTATGCAATCTAATCTTACATACAAAGCAATTGAATGTTCATAACAAACAGGACGGATCAAAGAGTATAATTTGCCCAGAATTCTTCAAGGACATCTCATTTGTACAAAAAGAATAATTCATGTTAACACAAAATACAATGATATTTACTTGTCTACAAGCCTTAAGAAAAGATTTGCAGAGTAATATGAGTCATGTATGTGGAGACCAAGTAAGAAAATGATCTCTTGAGCTCTTCAAATTCTCCAGAAGATCTAGACATACAAACCATAATCTAAGCAAAGATTCTTTTTCTGCTTCTACTGTCTCTGTTATGGTGGAAGGAAGTTCAACATCATTACACACAATGGAATAACTTCAGAACCTGTGTATATTAAAAATAAAAAATAAAAAAGGACATGTAGAAGGTTAATCAGGATCTCTGTCCACAATCTTTACTCCTTGCCTCTCTCTTCTCAACAACCTCACCCTACTAACATGATTACTTGTACCAAAAAATTGTCTTATTCTCCTTTTCCTCCATAATGGCACTGTACCGGTGTCTCCAAAGGGAGACTTTGCATGAATAACTTCAACTTTTTCACATCCTTTACTTCTCAGCTTCTGAAATAAGAACTCTGACGCTTGCTGAGTCCGACAAAGGTGTCCAAAGTGGTAAAGGGGTTCCACATAAGAAGTAGATGAAGATACAATGCCTTTGATATTAATTGGCTTGAGAAACTCGACAAATTTTTGTAACTCAGGAAAGCATGAGTGATCAGAATATGGAACTGTATATATGTACTTATCATAACTCCCTGCAGTTAATGAACCTCCATTTGTCTTGCTTGTGCTAATGGGGGTGGTAATATCTGTGTGCCATGTAAACGAAAAGTTGCCCTTCCCTCTGGCAGATTTTTGTGCCCATGGGAGACCAGATGGCATGATCCCTATGGTTGGACGTATTGTATTCAGTCCCTCCAGAGTTTCAATGTTAAAACTATAACGAGGAACAGCACGAATCCTTGTTACTGAAGTTTTAGTTGTAAAGATGTCATGGAACCCAAGAAGATGCATAATTTGTAAGCGTTCTGGCCACACCCAAATCTGCAAGACAATTGAAGAGCAGTTGAAGCATAAAGCTTGCCAATGGGGCAGCAGTTTCCAAGAGCAAAGAATGAAAGAAATCTTTTTTTTGTGTGTGTAATGACACAATTATGCTATCCAGAAGAAAACAATCTGAAAATTTACTAACCAGTTGTCACTTGAAATTGCGATTTTTAGAACAAGAAATAAATATTTAACCAAGGAGAGAGATATGCCCATCTACTGGTATCAGGTATCCTAAGTATTTCTACCTCCAAACAATAGAATATGGAAACTTCTTGCCAGGATTAACTGCATTGCTACTGATCATAAAGATAAAGTTGTATAATTCTGGTAAACTTTGGGTGTCTCATAATATTGACTCAAAAGAAATAGTAGCTCTGATTATTTCATATAGATAGAAATGTACCTTTGTTTTCAGGACACGTGATATGTGCAGCAGAAGATTTTCTTTCCCCAGTGTGTCAACAGCAATGACAATATCATGATTAGGATGACTAGATATGATGCTTAAAACCTGGAATCATTCATCAGAAATTAGACCAACCTATTAATGCTCTATACTGTAACTTCATCAAACATGTATCACACTGGAATTAAAAAGCACAATTATTAAACAATTTCTACAAGTTGGAAATTTGCAGCTTGAGATTGAAAAGGGAATTATAATAGTATGTCATAAGACACAAGGCCGATTATGATTTTACAAAATGCACCTGTCTAGCCGCAACTTCACGAGAAGGAAATGAGTATGTAGGGTTACAGTAAGTATTATCCAAGTAAAGCATGTCAAGCTGTAAATCCTTCAGAGCATTAAGCAGCATGGTCCTTCCATTTTGTGCTCTCTCACTTGTGCTCTCCCAACGAAAATCCCCAGTATAGAGCGTGCAGCCAAATTCACCACGAAACAGATACATCATTGCTCCTGATATCAGTGTTTTCACTTTAGTGGAAGAAAAACTCAGAAAGACTGCTAGCAAATTAAGCTCAATAAAAAGTCGCTATTAGTAATAATACTCCAAGAGATATATTACTATAGTCATAGACTCATAGTATCAATATCTCTTAACAGTTCGAAATTTTGAGAAAAGAACATATGAAAATGGGTCAATTATTTTGTCTATGTAAAGAAATAAAAACAATCTTAGAACTAATTTTGTCCGTGAATATCTATCCGCGCGTAAATTGCAACTATCCGTTGATGTTATTCCAGCAGGGAGCTATAGAGATTAAATCACATAAAAGCTTGAAACGCATGGGAAATTAATCAAACACGTGGTGAGCCAAAAAAAAAAAAAGGAATGACAATTGACAAAGCGGTTGCTCGTATTTCAGGGAAATACCAGGGCAATGATGAGCATCGATGGCCATGAAATAGACAGTAGTGGAAGAACCAGAGGAAGGAGACAGTAGAGAAACAGAGTGCCAGTGACCAATTTCAACAATGCGAAGGAGAGAGAGGTCGAAGCCTGGGAATTTGATAGGAAAGAGCTTAGCAGTAATACGTGAGCAGTAAAGGGGTCCACGTGTCCAGTTCGGAGTGAGTCCACGCACATGGTCGGCGTGAAGGTGAGTTAGGAAGTAGACTTGGCTTCCCCTGCTCCAACGATCCACTGATATCATTCCACTCTCCATTGTTCCGCTGCTTCAATAATGGGAGATTGGGGGACAAAGAATGAGAAATTGAGCAGTATTTGGTTTGGCGGGGGATTGTGATTTCAAACTTTAGTTGTGGCGCTTTTTGCTGGGAAAATTCATAAGTGTAATAGGAGTAACTACTTTATTAATCATATGAATATTTTAAGACCACCGTTGTTAGGTTTTATTGAACTTGAATGTTGAAAAGGGTAAGGTGCTTGTATTGATTTTTGAAAGTTTGGACTTGGGACCGTTTGTCCAAAAAAAAAAATTATTCAAAAATGTGTTTGTCCATAAGATTTTGTAAGCTCTTGAAAAAATTAAAAAAAATGAGTTTTTCAAAAAATCAAAAAGTAGTTTTGACCGCTTCTTCAAAATTTTCAAAAAAAAAAAAATGTTCTCCAACTCACAAAACTATAAAAATAAATTCAAGTGAAATGCATGTTCATACATCCGAAGTTTTAGTTATCCACCGAGACATGGTCAAGTTCAACCCCGCAAGTTCCAAGTTCTAAACCATTTTTTTTTCCTAAACTTATTTAAACAAGATTATTAAAACTTAAATACTACTGGCGCAAAAGTCTCCTACTACCACCTATGTCCATTTATAAGTAGTTCATTATAAAAATTGGCCAATTTATAAAATATTAGCTAATTAGCTATTTGTAGCAAAAAAAGGTCAAATTTTTGCTTTCTTTTGAGTGGGGGTTATTAGAATAGATTGGGTACATCTTAAAGAGCTTGAATCTCAGTTTTGGGATGATTTTGGTGAAGTTTTGAGGTGGTTTGAATTGAAAATTCGAAGTAAAAACTGAACATGAAAAGAAATAATATGTGTATCACACTGTGTATCATTATGTATCACATATGTATCACATTTGTATCAATTGTGTATCACATGTATAACTATGTATACCTGTGTATGAGATACATGCGTGATACATGTTTGATACATGTGTCGCAGAATATCTTTTGAACTCGATTTAATTACGAATTTTGTACAAAACCAGTCCAAATCACCTCCAATCTTCCTCGAATTTTGTATATTGACTTATCTATATGTTTTCAATAAATTTCAACTATACTCATTGAAAAAGTTTATTTTTGCTTAGATTTTTAGAATATTGTATTTTTTTTTTTGTATTTCATCACCTTATTTGCTACCTCATCCATAAAATTTCCTTTCCGTCTTGCATCTAATGTTGCTAGTCACGCTTAAAAATATGGTAGGAGATTTTTGCATGTGATTCTTTGAGAGGAAGAACTTTTATTTATTTGGTTTTTCAATTTTTATATGTGCTTGGCTAGTTTTGGTAAATCTATGACTAATGGCTAGAGGTTGGCAAGTTAAGACTTACTTGGGACATTTGTGTAAGTTTCCCTTTATACAAATGACCCATTATGAATAAGGAGAAATGAAGAAAGAAGTCCAAAAATGAAATGTTTCTTTTTCTTAATAGAGCCCAACTTCATTGGGCTCTTCACTCCACCGGGCATGGGCTAAGATATGGTGCATCTTATTAGGTAAAAATAGCACGGGCTAGTTAATTTTTGGACTGGTCATTAAAAAATAGCCAGTGTTCGCAAAATTATTAAAAAATAGCAACTATTTTGATGCAACACGAAAAGTTCCAGCATAATATACTGGAGATCGGTGCACCTGTGTATGAACTTCCAGCATATTATGCTGGAACTCCAACACGCGGAAAGTTCCAGCATAATATACTAGAGATTGAAGCACCCATTTATAAACCTCTAGCATATTATACTGGAACTCCAGTATATTATGTTGGAAGTCCAGTATATTATACTGGAACAGTACCAGTATAAGATACTGGAGTTCCAGTATACTTATGTTGGAGTCCCAGTATATTATACTGGAATTCCAGTATATTATTGATCACGCCCAACTATGCCTTATAAAAAGGACAATGCGATCGTTGCAAATATAATCCGGTTTACAAGTCCGGAGTCGAATCCCACAGAGAACTAAGGTTTAGCTACAGTTGTTCACTATCACCAAGAAGACAAGGTTGAACAATTCCTAACTTATAGATATTAAGATTCTTGTGTTTAACTAATTAACTAATAAATTAAAATAGTAAATTAACAACTAACGATACTGAGGGTTAGAGAAAAGATTAAGGAGGTCTAGAGTTATGATTTCCCCAATTGTCGGAATCCTTCCCGCTATGTCTTCTATAATTTCGCCTAAGTATTCTCTACCGATCATGAGCACTCTTATTACCGTAAATCTCTCCCGAGTAATTACGATAATTTACTAGACGCACTCTCTCGAGCTACGCTAGCTGGCTTTTAATACAGCTCACTTCAGATCGCACCCAAGGCTTCGTTATCCCTAATCCCGCCTTTAAACCCTCGGTTATTGATCCCTCATATACTTTGGGAGTGGTGTTGTTTAACAATTACCTAAATATGCACTCTCTCCCGAGTTATGCATACTAAATAGGCACAGCTAATTGAGAGCTCTTCAACCAACCACAATATAAACGTAGTTGAACAAATAGAGAAAAGCTATGGCTCAATTATATAAAAACATAACAAGAATTTATCCTACAAAAGGTTCTATCAAAACTCTAGATAACAAATTAGCTATTCATAATAGTATCTAAAACTACAATACTAAAAGTCATAACCAACAATGAAAAATAGGAAGAGGAAGGAAAAAACTCGTAGAAGAATTCTCCGCCTTGCTCCCAATGTGTTCTTGCCTCCAAGGGTGTTGTCTAACCCTAAAGTAGTGTCTCTCCGCCTCCTTAGGTCTAATTTGTGTCCAAAATATGTCCCCCTTTTTTCAAAATAGGTTTAGGACCCCTTTTATACAAGTTGGAATAGTGTAGGGCCGAAATAAACTTGTCCCGGGCGAAATAGGACTTCTTTTTGACGCCTGGAGGGGCGCGGCCGCGGTCAAAACGTGGTAGGACCGCGGCCAGACAAGCTCTCTGATTTCTGCCGCGGTCAGTTCCGCGGTTGCGTTTTCGACCGCGTTTTTCACCCTGTTCCATTTGGAATTTGGAAAAACGTAAAACACGAAAGTTGTAGCTCTTTGAATTAGCTCTCCAACCATATATTGTGGAGCCCAAATGGAGTTCTGAGCAAAAAGTGATGTCTATTTTACTAAACAGTGCACAATATGCCTCCTCAAATCTTCGTTCGTACTTAATTATCAAATTTGACCCCCGGACACGATCCCGACTTAATTCCTTGAGCTTTTACTCAGACTTCAAAGCTTCAAATCACTTAAATTCATTCCATAACATCTATATAGCTCGGAATCACACCTACAAGGCATAAAACACACAATTAGTGCAAAACACTAGCGATTAAAGCGCAAACTCAATTAAAGTGCAGTAAATTCGAGTGTAATAAGCGACTAAAATATGCAATTATCGCCTATCATCAATTATGCTGGAGTATTTTTTGAATTTTCAACAGTATTTTCGTTCAGATTTATCTTTACATTAAATTTCGATTAATTTTGAAATTGTGGCTATTTTTGGATGATCACTTGTAAATCTGATTATTTTTGAATTTCTCCCTCCTATTAGTGCGCATTTCAGAACATTATTTTTCGTGCTCGCAAATACGAACAATAATAAAACTCTAGATGATCTGCTATGATTGGAGGGAAAAGAAAATTCAGCTATGTTTACATTCAATACATGCGATGAATATAACCCAATCAAGAACATGTGTTAATAGAGGACAGCTAGTTTATTAGATGTTACAAATAGACAAATCTAAATTGTAATGTCACGAGTTCGCGCAACAACTGAGGTTTAGCTACTATTTCCAGTTGGAAATAGTGAATGTTGGGACATATACTATTAATCATGAGTTTGGTTTAGATATAGTATTTATTATGATATAATTATTCATTTAATTTTAATAAAGTTTTAAATAGATCATATATTAGTCTGTGTCCTTTGCTTATATAGTAGATGATTTAGTGTACAGAGTTTAGCTTATACACGGAAGATTAAATCATCGGTTCTTATAAGTGTAAAGTTTGAGTTCACAATCTAATGATAGAATTGGACAAACCATCAGGAATGATTGTAGCACAAGATTAAATATAATTTATCTTGATTATGGGAATGGTTTAATTCCAACTTCTTGCGCTAGTACATTTTGTATGTATTGAACGGATCAGGTAGAGATAAGTATTTTATACTGATTTAATAAAATAAACTCTCTAGCTACTAAATGTACTTATACTCTTAATCTTGATATTTTATTATTAGTTGTGTATATTATTATTGTTTTGATTTATTAAAAGGCGAGATTCTTTCGTGGGTCAATATGCCTGGTAAATTGGATAATAATATACATTGGCAAAGTAATAGTTAGTTGATGGAATCCATGTCTCGGTTTAGAGATTGATGATACACCTTTATGAAAGCTTATAAGTTTTCATGTGTAAACCCGGCCGGTGGATTTTGTATCCGACACATGAAATAAGTTAAGCGAAAGTCTAAAGGAAATAATCAATAAATTAAATCGTCAGTAATTTAATTTATTTGATTAGTATCTGCATCTTAACATGGGGAGTTAAATAAGATTTAATGGATGAATTTCAAAATTGAATAAGGAGTGCAATTACGAATTTTTAGTGGAATAATTTGTAATTAATTATGGTAGATATTAATTTCGAAAATTAGAAATTAATTCCATAATTGGAGCCTTGTTAATTAAATTCTATGGTCCCTGCTGTGCCTAAATAATAGGAAATAAAGGAATCCTTTTTCTGGTAGAAAGGAAAACCTAACAGGTTTTGGAAAAGGGTTTTAACCCTTAAAACTTGTGCTATAAATACATAAGGTTTTCCATCTAGAGGAAGAAAAAAAAAGGGGGCCGAAATTTTCAGCCTATTTTCTTAGAAAATTTCGCCCACACGAAATTACTATTTTTGGGTATTATTTGGGTAACACAGTAGAAGACTGTGGAACTTTGGGAGATCGTGATCGTGCAGGTGGTAGAGAATTCATTGAGTTGCTGTGGAATTGGAGGCTCACGTGATAAATGAGTTTTGTTCACGCTTCAAGAGGTAACCCGTGAAATTCCATTTATGCTAGTTGTCTAGATTACATGTGATTTTGATACCGGGATTGCTTCCGTTGCA